TCGTATTTTGGCCTTCTTGTTATAGTACCTTTCTGCTTGTTGTTTTTTGGCCACCATCCTTATGTGTGCCATATCCTTCTGTTCTTCGACCTCATCCAGGTCTTGTAATCTAATTTCATCGTTGCTTGATCTACTCTCATTAGAGTATCTCAGGCTGGGTTCCCCGACCTCAACGGATATGACTGCGTCAGTATCGTAGACCAGTGAATACAGAGTTTCACCCATGATGGTCTTTGCCGTTATGCGGTAGGCCCATAGTACCTCCGGTAGCAGTTCCGGCCATAGCCATTTGGCATCCTCAAGATTTTTCTTTAATATGTTTAATATTGTTTTATTGGAGGATTCTGCTTGGCCGTTGCCAGCAGGATAGTATGGCGTGGAGAGTATTCGCTTGATATGCCATTTTTCAAAGAACTCAGTCGTCTTTTTCCCGACGAACTGGGGTCCGTTGTCGCAACTGATTTCTTTGGGGTGCCGAAACGGCATATGATGTTTTTCCAGATGAACGCGATGACTTCTTGTTCGCATATTTGAGCGAACGCACCTACTTCCACCCATTTGGAAAAGTAGTTATATAAACCAAAAGGAAGCGTATCTTACCTCGCCCTAGTGGGAGGGGCCCGGCGATGTCCATTCCCCATTTTATAAATGGCCATGGAGAAGTGACGGAATGCAGGAGTTCCCCTGCTTGGTGTATCATAGGAGCGTATTTTTGGAATTTCTCACATTTCTTGACGTACTCCACGACCTCTTTTTTCCTAGTAGTCCAGTATTATCCTGCACGAATAAGACACCTAACGAGGACCCGATTGCCTGTATGGACATCGCAGTGGTCTTCGTGTACCTCTTCGAGCACACAGCTTGTTTGATTTGGTCCAAGGAATTTGGCTAACGGGTAATCGAACGTCCTTTTGTAAAGGTCGTGGTTTATGAGACTATATTTGGCCGCTTGTATTCGGAGCTTTTTATCTTCTTTTTCATCTTGTGGGAGCGTTACTTCCTGTAGATATGATATAATGGGATTACGCCAGTCCCAAGTTAAATTTATGGAATGTACCTCGACTTGGTCTACTGATGAGTGGAGGAGGGTGACCACATTCTCCTTGGTGATGTTTTTAGTTGTTGCTGCCAGCTTGGAGAGACCGTCTGCTTCGATGTTTTATGCTCGGGGTATTTGGTCGAGTCGGCATTTGTCGAATTCTAGCAGTAGTTTATGGATTTCAGTCTGGTATTTCTGCAACCTATGCTCCTTAATCTGGAAAGTCCCAATAACTTGATTTACAACAAGTTGAGAGTCGCAATGGAGGATGACTCACCGAGCACCATACTTGAGGGCCAATTTCAGTCCTGCAATTACGGCCTCATACTCGGCCTCATTGTTAGTCATTTCAGGGCATCGTATAGATTGGCAAATTACTTCGCCCATCGGGACTTCGAGTACGAGTCCTAGTCCCGATCACGATGCGTTGGACGCGCCATCGGTGTAGAGGACCCAGAGGTTGGGTCGTTCAGATGAAGTGCGAAGCACTTCTTGGTCGACTTCGGGCATTATCTTTGCGCTGAAATCGGCGACGAAATCGGCGACGAAATCGGCGAGCACTTGCGACTTTATTGCGGTTCGCGGTTGATATGTTATATCGTGTTCGCTCAGTTCTATGGCCCATTTGGCCAACCTACCCGACAATTCGGGTTTGTACAGGATACTCCTGAGGGGAAAGGTTGTCACCACCTTTATGGGATGGCACTAAAAATATGATCTAAGCTTTTGTGAAGCTACGACTAATGCTAGAGCGAGTTTTTCAAGGTGGGGTACCTTGTTTTGGCGTCAATTAAGGTTTTGCTAATATAGTAAATTGGAGATTGCGTACCTTTGTTTTCTCGGACTAGAACTGCACTTACCGCAACTTTGGATATGGCTAGGTAGACCAGGAGGCATTCGCCTAGATCTGCCTTGGCGAGTAAGGGTGGTGAACATAAGTATGCTTTAAGTTTCCTTAAGGCGTCGACGTATTCTGAATTCCACTGAAGTCCATTGTCTTTCCTTAACACAATAAAGAATTTATGGCATCTATCCGATGACCGTGAGATGAACCTCGACAAGGCGGCTATCCATCCCGTCAATTTTTGTACCTGCTTTTTGCTGGTCAATGTTTCGGGTATTCCTTCGATGGCCTTAATCTGTTCTGGGTAATCGAGGAACTTTCCCGAGCTTACGCCGAAGGCGCATTTTTCAGGGTTCAGTTTCATGTCGTATCGTCTTAATATGTCGAAGGCTTCCTTTAGATGATCGATATGATCTTCTTTATTTTTTGACTTAACCAGCATGTCGTCGATATAGACTTCCATTGTTTTGCCTAGTTTGTTTTTGAACATTTTGGTGACCAATCTCTGATACGTTGCCCCTGCATTCTTTAGTCCGAACAGCATAACCTTATAGCAGTACGTTCCTTGGTGAGTGATGAAAGTGGTTTTCTCCTAGTCTTCTTCTTCCACGAGGATCTGGTTGTAACCCGAGTACGTATCCAAGAAGCTTAGCAACTCGTGTCCTGTTGTTGCGTCAATGAGCTGGTTGATGTGTGGAAATGGAAAAGAATCTTTTGGACATGCCTTGTTCAGGTCCGTGAAATCTACACATATCCGCCACTTTCCCTTTTTCTTTTTCTCCATGACCACATTGGCGACCCACTGAGGGTATTTTGACTCTCGGACGGAGCTGTTTGCAAGTAGCTTATCGACTTCTTCGTTGACAACTTCATTGATTGCGGCGTTGAACTTCCTTCTTATTTACCGTACTGGCGGGTATAGGGGGTCGACATTTAGCTTGTGTGTGGCAATATCCTTTGGGATACCTGGCATATCTCCATGGGAGAAGGAAAACAGATCGGCATGGTCAGTCAAGAACTTATAAAACTTACCTGGTTCCGAGATGTTGTGCCCGATATAAGCCTTTGTTGTGTTGTCGTTGCCGTCTAGTAGGACGGGATCAAGATTTTCTATCGTTGACTCGGATGCTTCCACGATGTTGGGCTCCTTGATAATGTCTGTCTGTACGTCAAGTTTGGCTCTTGACATCGCTGATTGCTATGCTTCCACATTTGCTCCTTTGAGTTGTTGGGTGTGTGCTCAGTCTTGGGCGATGTGATATCATTCTTGTGCGGTGCGTTGCTCACTCCGAATGTTGAATATTCCCCATGGGGTAGGAATTTGATCACTTGATAGAGACTGAAGGGGACCGCTCGCCTGATGTGTATCCACGGGCGCCCTATGATGGCGTTGTAGGCTATTTCCTGGTTCATGACGTGAAACGTCATTTCCTGGGTGACTCCTCCGGCTAGGACGGGTAGCACTATCTCTCCAGAAGTCCGTTCAACTGCATTATTAAAACATGTTAGCGTTGTGCAGCGCGGTATTATTTTGTCTTCGAGTCTTATCTGCACGAGGACTCGAGGATGGATAATACACGCGCCACTCCCGTCATCTATCATTATTCTCTTTACATTAGTATCTGCAATAGGTAAAGTGATAACAAGAGCATCATAGTGAGGGAAAGACAAACCGTCGGCATCTGACTTATCGAAGATGATACTATCTTCGAGGTCATCATACCGTTCATGGGTGTTTGATCGTTTGAGTTTATGTGTGATGGTGAACTTGACATGATTGATTGCTGCGCCATCGCCCCCACCGATGATCATCTGTATAGTGCGAGCGGGAGAAGGCGGTTTTGGAGGTACCTAGGGCTGTATGCGTCCGCGGGCGAAGTTAGCCCGTCCTCGATCACTCAGCAACTCTTTCAGGTGTCCCTGGCTTAGCATTCGTACTACTTCCTGTCGCAGTCCTAGGCTATCTTCGGTTTTGTGACCCTTTTCTTGGTGAAATTCGCAGAAAGCGCTCGACTTCCGAGTGTTGGGGTATGACCTCATCTTTTGCGGCCTTTACACCTTTGGATCGAGTTTCTCTATGGCGTACACTATTTCTGAAGGAGAAACACAAAAATTGTGAGCGGATAGGAGTGGAGACATACCTTTCTCGTGTCAATATGGTCTTGTATGCCGAGGAGGAGCATCTGTATGCCTCGAGGGAGGAGGGGCGGACGTCCTGACGTAGAGCTGATGCCTTTCCCGACCGAGGTGGGGCCCCAAATGATCTCTTCGACTGCCGTTGCGACGATCTTTCCTTGCTTCAGTTTGAAGTGACGTAATCCGTTGGGTCGGACCGTAGAGGTCGTCCTTGTCGGCTCATACCTCAGCGCAGTAGGCGTTATGTATTTCTTCCCAAGTAGTTGAAAGGTATTTCATGAGCCTGCTCAGCAATTTTCCGGTCGCTCTTGACCCGTTTCTATTTAATCCTTTCTGGAAGTGTTGGACTTCAGCTTACTACGGCCCATGATATAGGCCCACTACCAGTTTAGCTAGGGTGTATTTATTCGTATTTTGAGCTTCTGGGCTAAAGCCCAATATAATGTAAATAATAGAGATACAAAAGATAGGCTGGTACATTCTAGAATATGATAGAAAATATTTTTCTCTCTCTGGTTCTTCTTTCTCCCATGAACCCTAATCAATTCTTCTTCATTTTCAGCTCGATTTAGTAGTTTTACATTGTATCAGAGCGGATGATCCGCTGATTCTCCTCTTCCTGTTTTGAGCGGTGTTACCCTCGCTCATTTTCATCAATTTTTTGCTCGATAGTTGATTTCGTGGTTGATTCTGTTTCTGGTAGTTTCCTCTCGATTTGCAGATAGAATCAAGGTCGGAGTTACCTTTTCGTCATCTATTGGTGGTATTTGTGATACGTGTGGGTGAATTTGGATCGAATTGGAACGATTTCCTCCTCCGCTGCTGACCTAGGGTTTGTTCTGTTCAGATTTTTGGAGTCTACTTTCAAGGCCGTTTGTTTTCCGGTAGCAAAAACATACAGTAATCTCTTCCAATTTTTATTTCGTTGCATTGGTCATCTGTTTGTGTTCGTTACTTTGACGAAAGTCTCTGACTGTCGCTATGGGAGCATCTGATGCATCCTTGAGTACTACCTATACTCCTGACCCATCCAGTCCACTCTTTTTACTTTCTTCTGATGTGCCTGGTGTATCTCTGGTTAGTCTGCCTTTCTCTGGGACTGGTTTTGTAGGTTGGAGGCGGAATATGATCATATCTCCGTCCGCTAGAAATAAAATATGATTCATTGATGGAAGCTGTCCGAGACCAGCTGAGGATACTTCTCAGTTTAAGCAGTGGGATAGGTATAATAATATGGTCATTTCCTGGCTGACTAATTCCCTATCCCCGGGCATAGCTGAGAGCGTTCAATACTCGGATACTGCTGAGAGTATTTGGGCTCAGCTTAATAGAAGATATGGTTCAGTTAGTGGAATTAAGGTATTTGAGATTAAGCAAGAGATAACATCTACTCATCAAGGGTCATTGGACATTGCTTCCTATTTCAACAAACTCAAAAAATTATGGGATGAACTAAGGTTTATGTGCACTAATCATGCCAATACTTGTGTTTGTGTTGCTAAACCTGGACTTCAAAAGGAGGAAGAGGAGAACAGATTACACCAATTCCTCATGGGTCTGGATGAGACTTATGTTGGTGTTAGGAGTAACTTGCTCATGATGCAACCTCCACCTTCTCTCGATACTGCTTATAGTATCCTCCTCCAAGATGAAAAACAGAGGCGAATTACTCCCAATTCTCACTTCCAAGGCGACTCTGCTTCTTTTCATGTCAATCTGAATAATAAATCTGCCCCTCCTAGACAATTTACCCAAAAAGTCAGTTTTGATCAGAACAAGTCCCCTCTTTTATGCAAGTATTGTAAGAAACCTGGGCATTTGATTGATAAATGCTATAAGATCCATGGATTTCCACCAATTCACCAAAGGTAAACGAACTGCTGTAAATGTAGAGGTGCAGAGTTCAGTTTGTGCTTCTGAACCTGCAACAGTTCCCACTGAAAGTCTTGTTTATTCTAATTCTGTGATTCCTGGTCTGTCCAAGGACCAGTATGCTCAGCTCCTGATGCTACTTCAGCAACATCACATTTTAGAGTCTCTCCCTCAGTCTAGTCTGATGGCTTCTGCAAATTTTGCGGGTATAGTTCCTTCCCCTGATTGTGTAGGCAAGGTGTCTTATGGTGCATGCATGCTAACTAGAGTCCATGAGTACACTTGGATAATAGATTCTGGGGCCACTAATCACATAACTTCTAAGAAAGAACTCCTCTTTGATATTCAGCCCCTAGTTGTCCCATATTTGGTCACACTTCCTAATGGACATGAAGTCAAAGTCACTTGCGCTGGTTCTCTTCACTTTCTTTCTTTCACACTTCATCATGTACTTTATGTCCCTTGTTTTCAGCACAATCTTATTTCTGTTCACAAGCTTGTTGCACAATTAGATTGCCTGGTTCTGTTTGGTAAATTTTCATGTTTTCTCATACATGCCCCTTCAATGAAGAGGCCACTGGAAATTGGTAAACAGGATCATGGACTATACAAGCTTGTGCAGCCATGTCCACAATCTGATTCTCACTACTAGAAAATGGCTATTTTGCGACTGCAAAAACGGTTAGAAAGTGGTCAGAAAATGCTAATTCCGACTACTTTCAGACCGAAAAGTCGTAGTCGCAAAATAGCTGGTCTGAAATAGTTTGCGACTGAATCCGTCCGTAATTTGCGACTATAGCGGTCGCTAAGGCAAAATAGAAAACGACTAATAAATGCGGTAAGTTTCTGACCGACACGGTCGCAAACAGGTTAAATTAAATTTTAATTTTATATTAACTTTCCCACTACTTCGGTCGCAAACACTATATATAATTATAATAATATTTAATTTTATTTGAGTTTTCCCACTACTGTGGTCGCAAATCTGATTTAAAATTATGTATTTATTTATTTTTCTGACTAACGTGGTCGCAAATATAATTTAAAACTATTTATTTATTTGTATTTCCGACTACAGTAGTCCCAGATATTCCTAAATCTGAAATATTTTGATGCATTTTACGACTATTATTGTTGGAAATAAGTCGGAAAACTGGTCATCTTTTGCCAAATTCCGGCTCTGTTAAAGCAATACCACCTACCAATTCAAATATACAACAACCAATTAATCTACCATGCTAACTAATCAATCCACCATTGCAACTAATCAAATCCATAAAATGCAAAACATAAATATTTGTAACTAAAACATCCAAAAAGAGTTAAACATTCTAGCACCATTCAATCTAGTCTAAAATATTACAATCATAGTCAAGTGTAAATATTACCAAGTCTAAACATCCAACTACAACAAATAATAATGTCTCAAACATCAATAACCATAACAAACTAAAACTCATTATCCCCGCCATCGTTGCCATTCGAAGGAGCAAATGGGCGTCCGCTCATAAATTTCTCCACTAGACTCTGCAATTTGTTAAAATTTGCACGATCTTCTTTTCGTTCTTCCTTCAATTCTTCAACTTCTTTTCGTAATGCTTCCACCTCTTCGTGATCTTTCGAATAACTCGCATCACCAGACAACAATGTCGTAGAACGACCTACAGAATATTGTGATCCAAGACCGTAGGTTCTACCTTTCTTTGCGCCACCAACCACCTGCGTCCATATTGAAGCTACATCATTGAGTGACACTTGGGTTGAGCTACCATCCTCGGAATCGGGTTGACTTTGACGCCATTCCTCAAAACGCTGCTGATAGGCTTCCTGAAATTAAAATGGAGTCAAAGCGATACTTGAAGAAATTAAAATATACGTTTCACAGTTTTCTGATGAAGCATGTATCTATAAAAATACAAACACACACATAAACAAGGAAATGGTGCAAGGTAAAAACTGGATAGAGACTCTAGAGAAACTGAGCAGAATATCCCCCAACAAAAGAAGAAGAATCAGAAATTCTTGCATTTGAAGGAGACCCTACAAGGCTAGCTGATGCTGAATCTTTCCTCTTCCATATCCTCAAAGCTGTTCCATCCGCCTTTACTCGTTTCAATGCCATGCTTTTTAGAGCAAATTATGGCGCTGAAATTCTACACCAGAAAGAGTACTTACAGACACTGGAATTAGCTTGCAAGGAGCTTAAAACTCAAAGATTATTCTTGAAACTTTTGGAAGCCATTCTGAAAGCGGGGAATAGAATGAATGCTGGAACTTCTAGAGGAAATGCACAAGCATTTAAGCTTACTGCACTAAGGAAGCTCTCTGATGTGAAAAGTATGGATGGTAAGACAACATTGCTTCACTTTGTTGTGCAAGAAGTAGTCAGAGCAGAGGGCAAACGTTGTGTGATTAAGATTTGTTTTCAGAAGAGGGGGTTCAACAGTCTCTCATTTAACCAACATATACATTTTATCATTATATTAGCAAAACAAGAAAAAAAACTATCAAAAACCTAGTCATGAAAGGCTTCAAAAAACAGAGAGCACACAAACTTCAACATAAATACGATATATGAACATACCAACTTCATGACAACTGAACACAATGAAAAATCAATACAATTCTAAGACTTGAAAATGCTTCAAAAGTACAACTTTACATACTTATAAACTGCTTGTGCTAGATATAATTTGGCATATTATAGTTGCAATACTTAAATTATATTACAAGACAAGCTAAGGATGGACTCTTTCTTTAAAATTTTAAAAAATAGACTTAGTTGAAGCTCACTGTATCAGAATCTAACAATATAATTAACCTATTGCAAAAATCAAAATCCAAATTTAAAGAGCCACCATGTAACCCTTCATCAATTTGCCTGCTCTCTATATAACATGGAAATTAAGAAGAAAATGTGAGAAGTACTTTCAGTAAAGCAAAAAAGTAGAGTAAGACAGGCTTTTATACTTTTTTACTTTCAGTAAAGCAAAGAAAATCACAGTCAGATAGTCAGAAGAAGAAGAAAAAGAAAGAAGAAGAGACAAAAAGAAAATAGAAGGATCTTACATATACTCTTGCAGCACGCGGCTCGACCCATTCTGTTGTCCCATCCTTTTTCTTTTTCAAATGCTTGTCCTCAAAGACCTCAGCATAAGTCACAACTCTCCCTTTTTCCTTTTCTTGCAAAAAAAAAATTAAGTTAGATAAAGTTCAATTGCATCTAGTTAAAATCAAAACAAATATAATAAGAAAGTTACCATTCTCCTTCGATGGTTCTCCATACTAATTGAACCCCCAGTGTGCAATGAGCCACCCGAATTGGAGGCTCGGGCAGCCTTTGCAGCATTGCTCCTCTTCTTAAATTCTTCAGAAGCCCATATCACAATAAGTCTATCCCAAAAGTCTTTTAGCATCCAACCGGGCTTCTCGCCCTTCTCTCGAGCTTTATAAAGGAGATTTTTAAGCCGATCAGCAGCTTTTTTCTCGAAATTATGACTTATTTGCTGATGATATTTGGCACTCCATGCACACCTTGTCTGCAAATTATTTAAAACATTAGATGAAATAAGGGTAGTTTGATAAATAATACAAAATTTATGGATTTTGTACCCTAAATTGATTCCACATCTGATCTCTGTAAAAATACGGTATATCTGACCATTTACTCCAAGCATCTCGATAAAATGCTTTAACACAATCCACAACCACCTTCGTAGATTCATTGGAGGGAACAAACCTGCACTAAAACTAACATATGTTAAAAATATTATTCAACAATTCAAACGAATAATAAAGTAATTTCTTACCCAGTAGTCCCATCAGGAATGATAATCAGTCTATGAAGCGAATCATATGATACAATCTCTTCAAAAGTCTAAGTCTGTGTATCATCAGGAGCAGGTGTAGATGTATCAATGGATAGGGATGACGGTATGGTAAAGTCTCCAACATGCGGCCTAGAAACACTAGGAGTGGATGATGATGGAGATGAAGATGGAGCCATAGATGCGGAACCACCATTCTGACTAACATGGTAGCTTGGGTATGGAGGGAATGATGATGGAGGCATAGATGAGGAGCCACCATGCTGACTAGTACGATAAGCTGGCGAAGAAGATGGTATAGTGTGCATGATCTGGGAATTAGAGATAGGCTTATATCGAACTGGATCACAAGGGGGCAAAGTGAAAAAGCCAGGTGGCACTGAAGTCTGCTGAGGAGGCGGAGGAGGAGGAGGCGGAGGAGGATGAGGATGAGGAGGACCCATAAATGGCACAGACGAGGTAGTGGGACCTGAAGTGTACTGAGGAAGCTGGGAATCGTGTCTTATCTTCTTTTTTTTACCCGGCGCCATCTGTGTAACATAAGTATATTAAAAGCATTAGATGAAATATGTTAAGACATAAAAAATGTAAAGAAATTCTTCAGCTTATTAAATTAAATGAATAACGAAAACACATAAAAACCAACATGTCAATCCTCTTCTCTTGATTGATATTCATTATTTAATTCTTCCTCTATCGCTTGTTTCATTTTCATCAAGCAATTCTTCCTCATCGCTTGTTTCATTTTCATCAAATGATTCTTCCTCGCTTGTTTCATGTTCATCGGCGGAATCTTCCTCCGTGTTTGTACGGGATGTTCCTTTCCCAAAATCATGCTGATTTGCTCTACGAGTAAGGACCGAAGGATCATATTCTTCATAGATGCCTTCACTATGCTGCAATTCACCCACTAATTCATCATCAACACTTTCTTGAAGACTCGAAATATCATTCTGGTACGCGACTTCTAATGCATTCTCAACTTCTACTCTACCAACGGGCTTTGTTTTTATAACTATCCGCCATGAGGACTTATTCTTGCACAAAGGATAAGGAACATAATACACTTGTTTCATATTTTGTGCAATGATAAATGGATCATAGAATCCATACTCCTTCGTGTGGTTAATGTTAACTATTTTATATTGAGGGTGAACTTTTGTACCTCTAGTAGGTGTTGGATCATACCACTTACACCGAAAGAGTATTAATTTTTTTTTCGGCCGACCGAAATACTCTAGTTCTAAAATCTCTTGAAGCACACCATAATAATCAACATCTCCATCACCTTTTACCCATACCCCACTATTATTGGTTTTCTTATTATTAGACCATTCTTCTGTATGAAACTTGTACCCATTGACAAAGTACTTAGACATCATTCTGACTTTATTATAGTCAGGTCCCCAAGCTATATCACACAAAAATGGGTCATTAATTCCATTCACTGGATTATGAACCTATATAAAGTTAAAGAAAAGTTAGAATTTTAAAGATACATGTACTTAATTTGTAGCCACAAAATAGAACTTACAAACTCCGTAAACCACTCTGAAAATCTTGGATAAATAGCATCATGCCCGTTTACACCTATAAAGTAACTGCCAGACAAAATTATAACTTTCATTAGTTAAAATAACTTTGATCTTGTAATAATCGCCTTTAGTATAAATTAAAACTTACTTATAATAAGGTTGGACCTCTGGACAATTCAAAAATACATGTGTTGTAGCGGATTTTTTCTCCATCTCAATCAAATTTCGCTGTTTACTAGTTTTCGGACCTCTACCTAGATGATTGAATATGGAAAATGGTGGTGCCAAAG